TTCCAGCAACCTTTCCTGCATAATATTAGGACTTTCCCACCCTGAATGAGCTTTGGGGATAACATCAGAAGTACTTACATTATTGTTCTTCCCTGACAGGACACATTCATCTATCCTTTGCTGTGATGCAGGCCAATGGATCTGCCAAGTGAAACAACATCTCACAGTTACAACTCTAATTTCCCATATTTTCTCCTTAACCCTGGTCCCAAACCAGACAATATATCGAATTGGGGGTTTTGCATTAGAAATCACTTGGGGTTTTTCAGTGTGATTATTTTAGAAGCCAGCAGTCACGTCACCTTGCTGTTTGTTTCTTAAAGGCAGTGCCTTTTTGGGGGAGGAGGAATATTCTGGATCATCTGGAAATTACCCCATTCCTTTGACTGTGAAAAACCCTATTTATTAGTGGGCGCAAAGTACAATGTGGTTGTTCTGGAATCATAATAACAAGTACATACATACACATATACAGATTTTAAACTTATACTGTTTCATAAATAATAGTTTAGAAGTGAAGAACATTTAAAATATTTAAAACATTTTACAGGAATGATAATGAAACCCAGTTTAAATTGCATAGATATAAGCAATGTTTCTCACACTTGGTCAAGGCGTCACCATTTTGTCACCTGTTTTATGAAGTCGCACCTTGATCAAGAAGTTAAGGCACCAGACTAGAAACTGTGAACTCTAGTCTTGTCTTTAGCACAAAGCCAGCTGGGTGAAGTTGGCCCAGTCACTTTCTCTCAACCCTGGGAAGCAGGCAATGGCAAACTACTTTTGACATCTTGCCAAGAAAATTGCAGGGACTTTTCCAGGCAACCTCTAGGACTCAACACTGACTTGAAGGCACAAATATAAATAGTTATGTATTCCTGAATAGATCTACAGTACATGTTATTTCTCTCCATTCATATCTCTTTCCTGAGTTAAAAATGAAAAATGATTCTCTATAGGAATCTTTTCTGACCGAATAGCGTACAGATTACGTGTTGAGCCTCTCTCTGATCCCGAAGGACTCTTGGCTTTAAGTGAGCAAGCAAATAAATAAATAAATAAATAAATGGCACTGTGGCACAAGAGGTGCCTGTCAAGAGTTTAATACTTTTGTTTTATATTTGGTAGACTAATCTTATACTGAATGATGTAGGAAAAAGAAAAAAAAAATCTCTGGGCTATTGAAGAGACAAAATACTCTCCAAAAAAGCAAAACAAAACCCTTCCTAAAAGATCTGGACAAATATTAATGTTTGTTTAATATTTTCTTCATTGCATTAAACGCTAGAAAAAAATGATATATCAATTGTAGAAAGATCAATTTAAAAAAAGCAATCCTATTTTCAACGTACTTTTCCAGAGAGATTCATTTGCTTCAATATCTTTCTATTGCAAATTCAGCATAAATTCCGAAGCATTTTGTTCCCCATCAAACAGAATTTCCCTCTGCCTACTCCTGATAAATTTTTTTTTTTAAAAAATACATTCTTACAATCAAGGGCTCCCGATTGATATCATGAAGGTCTAGTGAGAGGATGTAGTCTTTGCTCCCCACATACATTCGGTCATGATCTTCATCCTTCAGCAAGATTCGGTAGTCTGTTGAGTTGAGAAGGAAATTGAAGAAGCGTGCAGTTCCAGTGGCCTTGAGCTCTATAGGAACAAACATAAGGAAAGACCTGTATTAATTATCTTTTTCTACCCTGATTCCAAAATAGCCAACTTCTGGGAATAGTATGCTTGATTTAGGAGAAATCAACATGCTCCCCAAACTCAATAAGACATTTGACTCTTAAATAGAGCAATATACTTGTGTGCGTAGACATTAACAGATTATTCAAAGAAACACTCTTCTTGCAGCAATGCAATATGTAAGCATAATTTAGCTCATGAGACTCCATCAACCCAGATTTAACTTGAATTATTGAAAGCCAAGGACTTTCCCAGCATCTAACTCTACATTATTCTCTACTAGACTGTCAATCTGTGGGGCCCAAGAACATCTATGATACATATGAGAAAAAAATAAATTAAAAAGCATTTCTATAAAACACTCTGCAAATTAAAGAATAATATTTAACTATTAAAAATACCAGTATGAGAATCAAACTTCTGTCCAGTCTTACATACAATGAAACAACATGGCTTCATATTGGATATTCATTGTATTCCTTTCAATAAATGTCTAATTTGGAGCATTTGGAAAGTGGGATTTCAGAAGGGAAAATGATTTGTGGTTTTAGCTTTGACTGTAAGAACAAGTCTTAATCCCCCCCCTGCCCCCAATATTACAAAGTTTGGGCTTTTTTGTTTACTCCAAGGTGAAAGACTACCAGTCTTCCCAAAATTGCTAATTAAAGTTGTCATCAGCCTTAGGCAGCATGGTCAATAATGGTGATGCTGGACTTCACATCTAGGGAATCCTAAATACCTCACTCCTAATCTAAGTGACACACTTTGAAACTCTAAGGACCATTTTTTATTATTTTCTTGGAATTAGCCTTTTGTTTGTCTGGCCTTCCTAATCCTTTATTTCTTCTTTAATCTTTAACTTCTTAGGGACTTTAACTATGTTATTTATTTGCCACTGCCCATCTCATTCTTATTCTTATCCACTCCTATTTGGATTAATAATCATCCTCTCCTTCTCTTTAATATCTACATGTAGAAATGGACATCAACTTCAATGGAATGAATTTAAATGAACTTCGACCTATAGAGCAGAAATATCAGCATTGGATAAGTTTTCTATAAAGGAGATTAGGCAAGGTTTGAGAAGGCTACATTCTGCCCCCAAATGTGTATGAATACATTATTTTCTTTTTCTCTAAGTCTCCCTATTTAATTCAGCTAGGGAACAGAGTAGTGGCAGAGTTTATCCATATGTATTACCATATGAGATTTACATGCCTGTAAATGAATTATAGGTGTTGCTGTAGAAATATCCTACATCTACAGAGTCTAAATCAGCTCCAGGAATGAGACCTGATGCCTGAGATTGATTTCACACCTTGATTCCACTCACATGTTACTCTTCCTGACAACTTCAAATAAAAAGCACACTTAAAATTAACAGCAGTCCCTTTTACAATCTACCGACTGCTGAATTTTAACCTGGAGGAATATGAAGGTCAGCAAATCAATACAGTGAGGAATCATCATTTCACTCAAATGAGATCTTTCCTGGAAATAAATCTCCATGGAAATCAGCCTTCCAACCTATCGAGAGCAAAGAGGGCAGCTTTAGTTGCTGCAAAGTGGTTGATAATTGCTACTGAATGTTCCCTACACCTCTGTACAATATGTCAATATAATTACCTTTTAAAAACAACAAATAATTAATTTAAGCTTCGAGGAAGCTGTTTGCCAGTGAACTGCCAGTGAATTAATTACATAGCTGGGCACTGAGCTCACACAGGTCCTTTGTTTGTGTAAGTGTGCTGTTCAGTGTGGAAGGGGACATAAGGCTAAGCAGGTTTCCCACCGTGAACTCTTGAATAGTTTGTTTCCTCGACTGTTATTGTATTATCATCAAAGGGCTGTAGAGTTAGTTGTCAATTCTTCCACCTGCTGTTGGTGGGATGGTCTGGGAGTTGTAGTCTACATAAACAGCCCCACCTCAGTTATTTAGCTTATCAGTAAAGACTCATCCCATGTTTTCATGCTGATTATTATGTGATCTGGGGCAGGGCAGTGGCGCAGTGCTTAAGGCGCTGGGCTTTTCAACTGGAAAGCTGGCAGCCCAGATTTGAGATCCAAGTGCCATGTGACAGGGTGAGCTCCCATCCTCGCCCCAGCACTTACCAACCTAGCAGTTCAAAAGCATGCAAATGCGACTAGATAAATAAAGGTGCCACTTCGATGGGAAGGTAAGCGGGGATTCACTAAGAGTCACTAAGGTTGAGAAACACTGGCTTGCACTGAAGCTGCCCTACCTTTCTGTCATATCCACACAATTTGGATGATTACTGCCAATGGAGCCATAATGCTTCCAATTGTCAAAATCCCAGAAGAGCATCTAGCAGTCCAGCCAATGATATAAACCAGAAAGAAGAAGCAGGTAAAAATGAGGCTAATCAGAAAGGCTTTAAGAGACCAAAGGAGAAAAGAGAAATTGTACCAGTGGTGAGGAAAAGCATAGCTGAATTCATCTGGTCAACAATCAGGCACATTATCTGGTTGCGAAACAGATTGACTGTACCTTTCCAGCACCCCCAGAAAATATATGTATATGTGTATACACACACACACACACACACACACACACACAGAGAGAGAGAGAGAGAGAGAGAGAGAGAGAGAGAGAGAGAGAGAGAGAGAGAG